GGGAGTTGGACCAGTTGATCTCTAAGGCTCCCTTCCAACTCAAATGATGGTATGATTTAATTTGTTAAGATTTTCACAAACTCCAAAATGAATTAGACAAAAAAATTTCACAGTCTGCAATTAGCCCCATATGCAAATAAATACATTTAAATATTTGACTCATTGTCTTAGTTCATATGAAGGAATGATTACTTTTTAAATTACGCATACCTCCCCCTCAGCAATGTAGGAGGGGTTCTCATCTGACAGTCCTAATCATCAGAATTCCTGGGCTGAATCAAACAGTTGTAAAGGGCTCATGATGTAATATTAATGGTGCTTCTCTTTGCTGCATGTACCACAGGCATTTTGATGTTTTGTTTATATGGTGATGATGCTAATAGTCTAGGTGCAAGAAATGGTAGCACATCATGGATCTTTAATTTTTACAACCACTAGACTGAATAGAGTGAAAGTGTTTGTTTTTGCTACAAGAAAGCCCTGTGATTTGCTCAAAACCTGCAAAAAAAAAAAAAAAAAAAAAAAAAAAACCCATAAAATACCAACAAAAAAAAAAAAAAACAAACAGATGCAGCAATACATATTCTTCTGCTTTAAAACTGAATGCTAACAGTATCTGCCTGATCTGATCAAGCTTGGAGGGACCAAAGTCACTTTATTTTTGCTCTCTTCCATATTTAGTCTTCCTTTTAATGTGTCCCTTTGTCATGCATACAGCTGCTATCATTAAACATCAATCCTACTCCTTCAGGGAAAATTCATATACGTGCTTTGCACTATCCAAGTGAGTATCCCCGTAGCTCTGTTCTTTAATCTTCACCATCACTACCACCTGTTCCTTAATTTCCCAGTCAGCCTGATAAACATGATGCAGTTGTCCAGTCAGCGATCACTAAGCAAATCACATTGAACAAACTTCTTTCCCCTCTCAGCAGAACCCTGCAAAGTTTACTTCCTTTCCATTGCTGTGGAGGGAAATATCGTCTTTGAAAATTTATATAAAGCAGGGGTGTCCAATGCCAAGGAGTAAGCTGGATCGAAACTCAGGAATTTATGTTTCCAGTGCACTCACCTAATAACTAGGAATGACTGTAGTGAAATACTGTGACTCCCTATAAATAAATATTCTGAAATCAACTGAAGAAGTGCTTAATATCAGTATAAAAGAACTTGAGGGAATACAATTCTAATTTTTCTTGGCTACTATTTTAGCAGTTTAAGCCATTTAAGCGAGTTGATTCTTTCACACTGAACATCCTGCTTTATGTTTTATCCTTTTAATCATGCACAATTGGAAGGGATTTTTATTACATTCTGGCCTTATCACTTGAGTCAATTAACATGGGAGTTGAGTAAAATCAGTGATTCCTGAGATTATAATTGCTCACCGGAGATAAAGAAGCAAAGTAACAGGACTCCGAGCCCTGAAACATTAAGTGAACACTCCCCCTTCTCTGATGCTGGTAGAGGATGCCTTCCAGAGCTCTGTCAAATAATTACAAGTTAGTTCCTGGTCTGGGAGCTATAGATCTAAACCAGGAAACCCTGCTGTGCATTCTGTAACCTATATTTTTTCTATTCAAAGTCAGCTTTGATTTCATAATGCTGGCAGGGTCTACTAGTGCAGTAATTTAAGTTTTTGTATTTAAAGAGACTTACCAGTAATATTCTTAGGATTTCTTGGGGAAAACACGTCTTACAAAGATGCACTTTTTCATCTTAGAGACTATGGGCATTTTTGCCAAATATTTCAGTTGAACTGGATAATATAAATAGAGAACAATTTAAAAGCATCTCAGCCTTCAGTTTGCTTGTCCACTTTTGTCCGACACTCCTCCTCCCCAGCACTCTCGAACACTTTATATTTGCATGAAAAAAGGGTCTATTTATTCTATCTGGTCTATTAGTATGACGAGTTCCACAAGCGTGGCAAAAAGCAAACTTTTGCCACTGGTTGGAAAACTTCATTCGCATTCAAATAAGAAACCACTTTGTGTGCTTTTTGGCAGCTCCCCTTCTCCTGGTCTCTTAATTCTTTGGATAAAAAATAAAAAGGGAAAAGCAAATTCCTTCTCAGTTCTCTGAAGCTGTTCCTTGGAAAATTCTATTTTTAAAGCTGACATTCATTTGTCTTTATATATCCATCCCATGACTGTTTCCAGCACAGTTTTCCCCCCATTATATCAGAGCCATCCTGTTCCCATTTCCTTTTCTAACAGTTGAACTTGTGAAAGACGCTCTGCTCATTTAATCACTGCTTTGTAACTCTGTATGCATAGCCAATTAAAATGAAGCAATCAAAGTAAATAACTGAGGTAACCCTTTGTCTGACAAAAAGGCAGTTGCATGAAGAAGAGCACAGAAAGGGCAGAAGGAACTACTTATAGGCTAGACACAGTAAAGATTTCTAGTACTGGAGTGGGAACTTCATGTAAAGACAACTGCTATCTTTGAAGATCAACATAGTGGATCCAGCTATTGTGATTTTTATCTGCTTATGACAGGTTTCAGTGTTGCATATGTAATTCCTTTCTTGCTTGTAGGAAGAAGTAAGTGAACTTTTGAACAAGAGACTATTTCACAACATCTAGTGTTGATAGGCAGAATTGTTATTTTTTTATTCTTCACATTTGGCTAGGAAGTCATGTAGGACAAGATAATATGGTGTTTTCCTGTCATACATCCCAAGGCTACTTACTTTGGATATCAAGCGGGTACGCAGGGTGCACAGTCAAAACAAAAAAGAGAAGTTTCACATGGCAGAGGACAAATCCTTCTAGTTGCTTATCTATGTTGGAAATCCTTACAGATCAGAAACTTGAGGAGAAATCTTATTTTCAAAAGTATTTTGGAGTCAAATCCTCAGTGAGTGCAAACAGACAGGTACTGGAGAGAATATTCTGTGTTTGATTAGCATGGCTCACAGCATTTATACAGATTGGGACTGATGGATAGTAATCTCCAATGTGTTATTTTTAGAAACTTGTCTTCTAGAGAATGGCAAATTCAAAGGACATACAAATACAAGAATACTCTACTCACGTGGGAATTAAAGAGTTTTCTTTCCTAAGTATTTTCTGCAAAAAAAAAACCTCTACATGCAGCAGTGTTCTCTCTTACCTTAGACTGTCTTTGAAAGATATGTTATACTTGAACGTTTTGCATCAGGCTATAGGTGAAAGTCATGGCTGGTACTGAAGAAAATACTTCTTGTCAGATGAGAAAAATACACCAAGAACCAGGTTTTACAAGTTGCATGTATCCAGGTGAGAGCTTTAGTAGTGACAGTAATAATATTGTTAATGGATTTTTTTTTTGTTTCTTTGTTTGAAGCTGATAAGCAGCTGCTAAAGCTCTATCCCAGATTCACCAGCAGGTGGGTGACAGCAAAAAACCTACAGCTGTGTTTACTGTGGCTCTCATTTATTTTGAATTATTTATAAATAGCACTAGCAGCAATTTAGGTGTTATCAAATTGTATGTATGCTCTTTAAATGATTAGCTATTTTTTTCTCAACATGTTCTAACTGAGAAGGTAGTAGCTAGATTGAAGATAATGTCAGACGTGCACAGTACAAGTCTTTTCAGACCTGTGACTCCTGTCAACAATAATGAAATATTGAGAGAGATTTTTAAGAGGAAATTCAGCTACTGCTTTAATTTAAACAATGTGCTGCAAAACACAAGACCTCACAAATATTCCTCAAGCAGCGCCATCTGGGTATGTCACAATTTTGACAGAAAAGTAACCTGGAAATGTAGTGAGCTGAAGTAAGACTTATTGTACCATCTCAATTTTGTCCTCATCTGGGACGTACTAGTAACTTGTTATATCATCCCAAAATAACAACAAATGATTACAACATGTCAGTCTCCCATTCAATAGAGGCCCCATTCAATGGTGCATCATCAGTGTCAATGTGCTATTTGTGCTTTTGAAGTTCTTTTTTCCATTCTTGGAATGCCTAGACATTGTGACAGCCTGGAGATGACCGTTTTGATTAGTCATTCAGTCTGTCATTTATCATTTGTTGCTCTATACAGCTTTTCATTCCAGCTGTTAATACCTGGACAGACACGGTTTTCTTTTTTTGTGATTCATTTCTCATGCTCAGAAGATATTTGTTATAAATATCTCTAAAGGTCTGCAATGCAATACGTTATCCTAAAATTCTCATTGCCAACAACACAATCAAAAGAACTGACAGAGAAGACACCTGTCCTACTGCACTGCCCAATCATGTCTTGTTCTTACCTTGTCCTCCCCTGCATGTCTGAGAGCATCACCTGTCCTGTTTTCTAGATTACAAGCACTCTGGCAGAATGTAGCAGAACTTGATCTAACGATTTGCCCATCACTGCCAAGTGCTCTAGACATTTGATTGAGATTAAAGGCATTTCTGTCCCAGAGATAGACTGAATCCGTGGCAATACTGTAATAAACTAATACCTAAAAAGTGAAGAAAGGTTGAGGATCTGGAATTGTAACCAGTGCTCTCTGTTCTTCAAGAGAAGGATAAAAGAGAGCTGTATACACTACAAAAAAAAGCTTTTAGCAAGAAAATACCAATAACATTTTCCTTTTACAGCACTAGATTTTTATTTATTTATTTATTTATTTTACTGCATAGATTGACGTATCAGTGGTGGAGCCAGTTCTCCTCCATAAGAGCAGAAGGAACTTCTCCTTCAAAGACAGTAACAGTGTGTCAGGAGCTGGGACCTCTGGTACACAGAGTAGGGGTACCATGTTAATATTTCAGTTGCATCCATTCTGTGATCCTAGCCTGTTAGTTCTGTCCCATAAAGCAAGAGGAGCTAAGAGCAGAGCAGGGGTGATGTAGACCCTTTGTATTTGAGTGTAAAAGTTATAAAGAATAAGGAAAATTCCACCCGTGAATTCACTGGAGCATGCAGTCTGATGAACAGTCCACGTAAACAGAAGACTTGTGATTGTCCTCAATTAAAGATGGCTGTGACATCACTCTTGGCTCTTCCAGGGAAGGAGATGGCTGGGCAAGCAGCAGTGACTGACTATCAGGGACAAGGAAAAGCAAACTCCGCGCCACTAGACTTCCTGTCACAGGTTCGTACTGGAAATATCTTGCTTCAATAAATACTGAGCAGGCTGCTAACTCTTAACCCTGCTTCTGTATTTTCATCACTTTATCTAATTGCTTTTAATTTATTTTCCAGATTTGCTGTAGGACTGTGTTTCCACAGCACAGGCTTTAAATAGATCAGTCCCCTTGCAGCCTTTCAGAGTTCAATGTGCTAATTTGCATTTTACAGTAATACAGGAAGGAAAGCATAAAGATGTGGTCAGGGTAATTTCTAGAGCAGAAGATCTCATACAATATTATGGTAAGCTTTGCAATAACTGGTTCATTACATTAATTGTTTGTCTCTGTGCACATGTGAATATAATCAGCAGCCTTTAATTGAATACTTCACATTACTCCTGTGTTGGACATATCATGTCTCAATACATCAAGAAGATGAATTAGAAATTGTTAGAAATATCCTAGTTTTGGCTGAGATAAAGTTAATTTTCTTCATAGTGGCTGGTATGGTGCTGTGCTTTGGATTTAAAACAAAACAGTGTCAATAATACAGCAGTGATGTAGTTTGCTGAGCAGTGGTTACACCAGTCAAGGGCCTTTTGGCTTCTCATGTCACCCTGCCAGGGAGGAGGCTGGAAGTGTACAGGGATATGGGAGGGAACGCAGTTGGGACATCTGACCCAAATGGGCCAAAGGGATATTCCATACCACATGACATCATGAACAATATATGGGAGTGGTTGACCAGGAGAGCTGATGCTGCTTGGGGTCTGGCTGAGCATAGTGCATCACTTGTTTTTTTTATTCTTGGTTTTGGTTTCTTTCTTTATTTGCTTATAAAGATGTCTTTATCTCAACCAAGGAGTTCTTGCATCTTTCAGTTTTTTCCCCCATTCCATAGTGAGAGGGGGTGAGAGGATGGTGGGTAGTTAGTGAAAATGGGATACAAAATCTGCCTTGGGCCTAGAGGAATGAGTATGAGTTGCAAGTAAAAACAAGGTAAATGGGGTTCTTCCAGGAAAATGTCTACTCCAGTTTTCAGTTGGCAGTTCTCCAGAAGTAGAGAGCAGGTGAGCTGATCTCACCTCTGATCTTAATGAAAATCATTGTGATTTTGCATTTACAGGAAGTGAGTAACAAAGACTATGACCAGGATCAGCAGGACCTTACCTCCAACCTGGTGGAGGAAAGGAACAACTGGGTTTCTTGGATGATGTGGCTTCAATGGCCTGGTGCATAGGAACCCCAGGAGTATAAGGCCACCAGTGCACAATATGCCACAATGCCATCAAGGTATAAAGGGGCAGAATCCATCTGTTGTATTTTTGGAGTGACAGGGGGATCCCAAGAGCTGACCACATTGGAGGCTAACTGGGAAGGAGTGGACAAAACATCCCATGGTGTCTGGCCCTGAGGCCCTGTGCATCTGTGGCGTAGACTACCTCAGGAGAGGATACTTCAGGGAATTGAAGCTGCCTTGGAGATGGAGATATTAAGCAGCTGTCTACCTTGCCTGGTCTTTCAGAGGTCCCTTCTGTTTCATGGTTGCTGAGGGCCAGAATGCCAAATCAGATTGTTGTATTAAACCACAACAGTGTAGGAGAATGATTAAGCCAGAAACAAAGGTTCTAATTATTTCACACTACATGTTTGACATATTCACTAAACTGAGTTGTCAGGCTGCTGTTTTTGGAATTATCTTATGTCATTGGCAGATGACTGTTCTGTGATTTTTATGTCTACTGAAAATTCATTTTAACTAGAAAATTGTACTACCCTACATTCACTTAGAAAAGCTCTTGAGCAACTTGGAAAGTGGTTGCTACTTTAATCTCTTAACATGTATTGAAACAATTCTCTATGCTTGATAAAAATCCATTGAAAAAAATTATATGGATGTATTTAATTCTTCAGTGCACATCACAGTATTGATGCATAGAAGATATTTGTTTTCTGTACTATGAACATAGATAATTAATAGAAAACAGAAGGAATAATTTGTTTTTATCTATCGTTATGTATTATAAACAGTGAGGAAGTTAACTGAAGTTCTTTTCCTTTTTTAAAACATGATACAACAAATTAGTAAGAACCAGTTACTGAAACTCAATGATACCTACCCGCTGAAATCCTCTTGAGGGGCTATCAGTCAAAACAAGGCTGGAAGATCCTTCAGCACTGAGATTAAAATCAAAAAAAAGCTGGCTTTCTTAAGGGGAAGGTGGATTCAAATATGTCTTTTTAACTGCAGTGTTTAATTTAGTGAAGGCTGAGGGTTTCATCTCACTTATTCCTGCTTTCCAGCCTCAGCAGTTGACAGACACCTTGCTGTGAGACAAAGGGTGTGAATGCTCTGTGGAAGATCTGAGGGAGTGGCAAATCACAGTCCTGTTTCTGTGGCACAGCAGATATAGCAAAATGGAGCAGTCTCAATTCATTTGGTCCACACCTTTAATTTTAAGCTAAATCACATAAGACAATGAGAATTTCTATAGAAGCAGTGAGTGGAAGGGAGAATGGGGAGAAATCTCTTCTCCTGATGGAGCCCAGTTTCCAGTTATGCTTTCTTATTTTCGGGAATGAATAGGCTGAAAGAAGGAGCTACCCCATCCTCTTCTGCACTCTCAGGTGCACATACACAAAAGTCTATGACTATTAGTCCAAGCACTGAACAGAAAACCACTCACAGTGAACTGTTTTGGTTACACTAGAAATGGATGAGTGATACCTGCAAAAGCCAAACTTCCACTGTGAAAGAGCACACACAAATTTAAATAGATACAATTGGCATTCTGTCACATGTCTTTTCGGGCATGTCATGTTGCAGAGAGGGCCACTTGTGTCTAGGGCTGGTGGTATCCAGATTGTGTTTGTTATTACATGGTGCAGATGCTATGGGAACAGACAGCTGAACTTCAGCAACAGGAATGATGCTAATTTCTCAATAAGACAGCATTCCTAAAGATAAAACATGCATGTTCACTTTTACAGCAAAGTTCATAGCTGGTCTTTAGTGCCACATACTAAGTACATAGGCATATAATTGCCTATAAATAGGATCATAAAAACAACTATCATATATTAAATGCTTTTGAAGTCATTTACTGTTGAGCTATAAAAATATTACAAGCAATTAATGTAGTTAAAGTGACATTTAGGAAGTAGTTCATTATTTTCTCACCTCTTCTGTGTGTTACATAGGCAGAAGACAGAGAAAAGATGGGGAACAGTCGCAGAAAAACAGGATGCTGTAGTTTCATGATTTCTGTTATTGATATTCCACATCATAACGTCATGTCATGCACTGGGAGTTAAAGAGTTAATGTTTCAGGTCCATGGATTGCTGATATTTCCAGGTACCTTTCTCAAAAGAGAAAAAATGAACTACATGTCCTAGAAGGCTTCGCTGTTCCGTTTCTGTTTTCCATTCAGAGGGAAAGATAAAAGTGTTTTGGAGTCACAAGACTAATCCTTTCACTGCTTGTCTCTGCAGTGCATGCTCCCTAGCTGTCTCGCCTTCAGTATTAGGCTTAGGCCTTCGGTTTTGGACACTCACTCTCTCATTTTATTTGATTTATTAGCTTCAATTCCAATTATATTGTATATTATTGTATTAACTTGCTTTCTGCTGTCATATTTAGTAAATTATTTTTCTCCATTAGTTTGTTGCTGCTGTTTTGTTTTTAGGCCCATCTCGCTACCTCTTCCCTGCCCTCCTTTCCCCTTCCTTGGGGCATGACTCTGTGGGTCCTCCCCACCTCATCAGTCATGGAACTGATGTCAGGCCAAACTAGCCTGAACCATGACACAGTAATAAAAATAACATGATTCATTCATAACGCAGAAATCTGTCTTGGATTTTACTAGATGTGTAATGGATTTTCTGTGGTCCTTGTTTATTTTCAGATACCTTAAGCCTTTGAAATATTACTAACATAGGACATGATATCCACCTTTAGTTGAGTTGAGCAAGCTGCATCTCCAACTTGTGGAACACCTGTGTCTATGTTACTGACCTAAGAGAAAATACTAACCTCTTTTAGAGCCTTCTATTCACTCTTGCTTCATTGGCAGCCTATCAAAGAACCTTGCTGAGTATTACATGTAGTGACTGATCAGCTTTTTGTGAATAGCTTTGGATGTAGTATCTCAGAAATAGCATAGGTAGTTTGTCAAAAAATGAAACCCAGTCAAGTCTTATCAAAATGTTGAGTCAAACAAATACTTTACTTTTCAGAGTAAAATCTCACAAGAGTTTTAAAGCTTGCTTGCTAGGTCCTCTATAAAAGTACTTCTCAGTCTGTGCTGAGATCAAAGATAATTAACACCACGACGTCTCAAATATTTACCTGCCCTGCACAACTGCTTGATAGCTCTTTCTCTGCTCCTTTTTCTTTTTTTTTCTTCTGAAAATGAACTGTTAGCTTTCAGATGCCACAGCTAAGTCTTGATTTTTCAAGTGATATAAGCCTCAGGTTTCACCCTCACAGAGTTTGCAGGACCTTACAGACATAAAGGTGGAGTTTGATGAATTTTGTAAATCAGGCAGTGAGATAGTGAGTAGAGTTGGATTTTAATATCATTTGGGAATTGCTGGATATTTTACTTTTTCATTCCAGTTTCCTGATATTACTTGTTTTTATCTATAAAAAAAAAAAAAAAGCTATAGAACCCTCTCCATGGATGTTAGCCATAAAATGCAAATAATATTTTGAAGACAATCTTCAAATGTCACTGAAGTTGCAAAGATGAGCATTCTAAAGCAATATTCACTCTGCACATTCTTTCTTCCCTTGTATGTTCTCTTGAACAGAGACACTTTTATATTTATCCATCAGTTCACCATTGAAGAATCCATGTACATAAATGCTTAACTCCTACCATCCATCACCATTGCACTATTTCGTTTCAGCATTCATTATCTTAAGTTCTTTGGAGAAACCTAGCTGGGTGTGAACCATGGATAGCAAAGATTTTTTTTTTTTTTTTTTCCTTTTCATTCTGATTAGTGTGCATTGAAGTAAAACAAAAATTGAATGATCTTAAAGTGAGGTTGAACCTACTTGAACTGTTGTTGGATCAGGATAACATTAATTTGAGGTCTGGATGTTCTTCAGTGTCTTTATATGGCACATTTTAATTTGCCAGCAAGCATTCCTCTAAGTAATAGCTGTACAAACACATACTCAGACTGCCTGGAGAAACTAATAATTAGGCATGATGAATATCAGTATAGACATCATGCCACTTTAGTTGTTTTTTTTCTACAGCTGCATTTGCAGCAGTGGCTTCCTAGACATCATCTTTTGGAGCTAATTTTCCATTTATGAGTCATAATTTCCATTACTTCTTTTATAGGTTTGTTTTCTCTGCTCTTTACCACAGAATCCCACAGTCTGAGTCTCTATGGAAGGCAAATCATTTATCCAGTGAACAGACAGAGGAAGAAAAGGTTGCTTGAAAACCTGAAGGACAAACTAACACTACTGTTATTGTAGACATGATGGCAGATTTTATAGACAGGGTAATATCTTTCATTGTTAGGGTTTTTTCTGCATCAGTTGATGCAATCAGAATTAGACAAGCTCCTGATAACCTCCGTAGGCAGCTCAGTAACTCCACGGCTGCAGCTGGCTATTTTATATCTTGTCTATTAATCAGTTTGAACTCAGAACAGTTGTTTTCCCAGTTAGTAAAGTGGAAGGAGCCAGAGAGGTTAAGACCAGATACCACAGTAGCAATTAATTCGTTGCTAGAAGTCTTTTCACTTTTTTTGTTTGTTTGTTTGTTTACATATTTCTTTGCAGATAAGGAAGCACCTCCTTGAAAATCAGAAATTTTTATTTCACTGCAAAAATAAGAGAGGCAGACAGAGAACAGAGTAATGTTCAAAATTTTTTTCAATTAACTATTGTTCTTTAATTGTGATTTTCGAGGTATTGCCTTTTCCATAATGCTAAGAGAGATCTTAGAAAGGATAAAAAAATGAAAGACAGAATTGCTCAATCATTTGAAATTTGGTAGTTATTGTTTGCTTAAAGACAGTTCTTCAACATGAAATCAAAATAAACAAGATAGTAATCAAAACAACCATTTTGAATAGCTCTGTTATTATATTTATTTCACTACAAGAACACATCTGCTGAATAAAAAAAGTAAAATGAGTCTTTTTCAGTTTTCTATATACTGTACAAGACCGTTCTACAAAACAAATATAGGAAATCATAGTGGTTTCTGAGGCAAAGGATGCTTATCTTTGTTATGTGTAGAGATCTCCAAAATACTGCTTTGAATACAGCATTCAAGGGTAGTAGATTTTTTCCCGGAACAAATCAGAGAAGTTTTTTTTCATTTCCTGACATGCCTATTCATAACTTTTCAAGTTTCACTCATCTCCTGTATTTTAGTAAGATAGATGTCTTAATTTGTCAAAAGTTACTGAGCTTGCCTTTCACTGTTTTTTACTTATGGTAATTTTTACTGGCTTGGATGGAAATGTGAGAAAAAGCAAGGTTGCTGTGTTAGGATTAAAAGAAAATGTTTAAGTTAGCTGGAACAATGCATAAAGTAATTCTCAAAGTTCATAATAGTCTAAAATAACTAATGGGTTAAAGCAGCAAGTAGGGGGGTAATTCTGTCACCTCAAGTAACTACTACTTACTAAATGGCAAACAATAATTTGCCATTAACTATTTCAAATGTTGGAAATAGTGGGATTTACTTTTCACTTGCAATTTTTTAAAGGAAAAAATGAAATAAAATGTCAAATTGCATGTCATTCTTTAAGTATTATCCCAGAATCTTGAGTTCAGGCGATTGTCTTTTTTTCATTTCTCACACCAAATCCTAATATGTCACCTGCCCACATATAGTGTATCTAGAAGCCATAAAATAAGCTTGATGCCAGGCTGCAATTAACATTACTGGCGACTCAAAGCATAGCACTCTTAGAAAAGTTTGCCTGTAGGGTCTTCTGGGAGCACATTATATAAGACATCAAAAAATGCTTAAAGAAAAATATGAATAAGGTTCTGTTTAGCCAGAAAGCACAAAATGAAATTATTGACAGCTAAGATACGGGAGACTCTATTAACAGTGCGCTCATTTTTTTTTTTTAAAGTAGAGATGACTTGCCTTAAGCATTTAACTTCAGAGTGACATTGAGTTTCTGTGAATCAAACAATACTTTATTCCATCTTTAATAGCTGTTAAGAATTGTTCATAAAACTGAAAACATGGCATCTGGTTCAGTGAGCCTAATTCAGATGTTACAAAGCAAACATCCCTGCTAAGTTCTTAGTGGTATTGTTTTACTATACAGCTTCTCAGAAAGATGGCAAATGCTGTAGAGCATTTTTGTAGTGAGTTATACCTCATCTCCAACTCTGCAGCAGTATCTTTACCTGTTTTGGTTGAAATATAATAATAAGAAGACACTGGAGCAGGCCTTCTAATTCTTGAAAATATTCAGTGACAGCTAATAAGTATTGTCCACCTGCTGGTATTGCTGTTCCAACTAGCGAAGAACCAGCTTAGGCTGCCTCAGTAATGAGGAAGTTCCTTCAGATGGAGATCCCTACAAGCCCACTCTAATGGGAGAGATTATATTGTGACGGGAAAGCATAGATCCTTCAGAAAACCTCCAGGATGTATTGAATGCTCAGGGAGGCCAGAAACCTCCTGTGGAGCAGAAGGGCAAAAGCTCGCTTGATTTTGAGTCCTGTACACTTACCTTTCCCTTCTGAGGCATTGCAGTTTTTTTGCTAATGGCTTGTGTGTATTTGTTTGTTGGTTAGGTTTCTTTTTCTTTTTTCTTTTTTTTTAATTTCAATTTCTGTTGTGTTTCCAGTTTCCTACTAATCTCAAGTATCCCAATATATTTTTCTTTTCTTACAAAAATGCAAAGTTTTGGACTTGGATTATATTGACTACATATTGGCTACACTCACATTTGCTTATTTAGATATAGACAGTGAACTTTTCTGGATTCAGTGCTTAAAACAGGTGTGACTTAAAACTGCAAAATAAAATATTAAAATAATAATAATGGTAATAAAAGAGTAGGGCAAGGTACAGCATTTCAATGCATCCTTCAAAGGCCATTTTTCCTCTAAGTTTTCTTTATCACTGGTGCAAGGGACCAGCCTCTTGCTTCCAACTGTGTAGTCTGAGATGCTGGGCCTCTGCCAATTCTATGAACAAAGCTAATATGGTTCAGACACAGAACTCAGAGTATATAACCCTGCCTGCTCTGCCATTTCTTATTGTATGGAACAGCTATTGCATCTGTCTTGATCTGGTGAAAAAGGATGTGAACATACCAGCTAGAGATGTGATTGAAGTTACTCTTTTACATTATTCTCTTTGCAGCGTGAGAGCAGAGGGCATATTTGGCATTCTGCTGTGGCAGATTGACTACAAGTGTGACTTCAATCGTGTGAAAAAAAGTACCATGCTAACACAAAAATTCTTATCTATATTTGTATGCACAAGCCTCTTTTATATTTTTCTCCTTTATTTGGTAGAATAACATAACAAATGATTATTTGTGGCCGTATGATTTGGAGAGGGACTGGTATATGTTAGGGAGCAGTTGCAGTCAGGCTTTTCTGGACGTGCAAAGGCAAGCAGCTCAGCCTTGTTTTTCCTTCTGTCATGGTGGTAATGATCACTCAATGGACAGAGGAGGGTAAATAGGTAACAAGATACCAGCAGGAGCCAAGGAAAGCGGTTGAGATAAAATTAATTAATGGGTGACTAATGACATTTTCTTATATTTCCGAATCAAAATATGAAGCATGGAGTTGAGCTTGAGCAGTAAGCAAAGATGCTATCTAGGAGGGTACTGCATGTGAAATTCAAGAAATTCTGTTGTCTCAGATATAACCATACATGAGGGCTGCTCCAAAAAAAATGCCTCCTATTTTATGATGTTGACCTACACCAACAGAGGTGGATGCTGGTGGTATGGCAGTAGAGGTTTAACTTTCCTGCCAATATCCCATTCCATGTTGTTGCTGTGGGACAGATGTCAGTAGAGGGGCACGCTGACAGAATGGTAACTGACGTGTAAGTGCGGATGAAGTAAAGATGAGTCACTGAATTCCTCCAAAGTACAATCCATAAAGAAAAAATGCATAATCACTTGCTGAATGTCGATGGATACCAATCAGTGTATATGATCACAGTGAGGCGATGGGTGGTGCGTTTTAGCAGAGACAATAGTGACAGGGGGTCACCTCCACTGGTGCAAATCTTTACAAGCATGGCATGCAGGCCTTTGTTCGTTGTTGGCAAAAATGCATAGCTAAAGGTGGTGACTATTGAAAAATAGTGTGCTCTTTGTATCTATTCTAATTTCCATGAAATGAATAGGAGGCATTACTTTCAGCATGACTTATATATGTATAGTGAAAACTTGTCACAAGTTATATCAGAGGAGGTTTAGGTTTTTCTCTCAGAGAGTGGTCAGGCACTGGAATGGCTGCCCAGAGAGGTGGTGGAGTCGCCGCCCCTGGCAGTGTTCAAGAGGCATCTGGATGACATGCTGCGTGATATGGATTAGTACTAGTGGTGGCAATGGTGATGAGGAGACGGTTGGACTGGATGATCTTATAGGTCGTTTCCAACCTTGTGATTCTATGATTCTATGATTCTATGAAAGGCTTGGTTTTGAAGATCTGAAAACAGCTAAGAGGCTGCCGAACAGGCTGAACCTGCCTGAAGGTGAGAAGTAAGAGAGTGAACTAATTTTAGTAACAGTATTGCTTAAAACTGACCTGTATGGCAGCATTATTCAGAAGGCAAGAGATCCAGTTAAGTATCTCTGCATGTTTTATATTTCCTGTACTATTTTCTATGCTTGTACATATTAATATGGTCAAATTAATTTGGTTTAATGACACATTATTTCAAAGTAAAATGTCTCAATCACTGTACTTAGAATATTCAAGTATTGTTTTGTATGTAGAGCTGAAGCTCATTTTATAGTGCATTTTAGAGTGTGGTAATGGGTTACAAAAAAAAACCAAAACCCTCCTTTTATAGACATTAGATTAGATTAGATTAGATTAGGCAGTTGTTTTACTCTGAAGCAACACTCAGAACTCAGCTCCTAATCTACTGTCCTGCACAATCAAGTCCATTACAGATAAAACACAAAAGCAAACATTACAATGCACTACTTTGAATTAGTGTGATTTTTCCATGCACTGGCACTAGGTCTTAAGGCATTACTTCAGTCTGCGGCAAAAGAAATGAGAAGAAAATAAAGAGTTCAGCTCCTGTATGTGACTATGGGCTGGCAGCATCTCCAAGCCAGATGTGCCAGAAGTATGTTACAGTTACATATGGATACGCATATTTCCAAGAATGCATTGAAATCTGAAATAGTGACCATGTTACATGAGATGTTTT